CTGTAAACTGTGGTGTGAAAATGGCTTTTTCCAAGGCTGAGAGACTTTGACCGCGGAAGGAATCATTTTTCCCTTTTCTTTTTTTAAAAAAAAAAATTGAATTTCAACCTTCAGAACCTTCACCGTCCCGTCCCTAGCTGTGAAGGAGGTAAATCGCTGGATGTGTCCCAACAGGCCAGGGAACAAAAGCTACCTGTATACTGTGCCTACAAAGAGTGAAATTTCATATCTCAAGAATCGAATCCTCACACTGCGATTGTCAGCAAGGCGTGAGATAATCTCACTCCTGTTCTTTGCATCACTGAACTATGCCCTCGAGGGCAAAAAAAAAAAAAAAAGTTTTCATCTTAATTTTCATATGGGTTGAATTGAAGTTCTTTGCTCCTTTGCCCTACTCGGTTGCTCGTAAACATAATCTTCACTTTTAATCCGTTATTATATATAAATGAATTAAAAGCTATGGAGATTTGTTCATCCACGCCTAAAATGAAGTTGTCTTCTTGCACCGAAGCCCTTGAATTTATCGGGCTATGCTGATATAATTAGTCTAAACCATCTTAAAACCCAATATCCAAAAAGGCCTCGGCTTTATAGCCCGAAATATGAGTGAATCTCATTTCACGTTGTTGTCGGTTTCCCACCTATTGACCTTTATTGCACGTGAACATGGTAGCTAAATAACGTATTATTACAAGTCATAAAATGAGCAGATAAAGGATAACCACTGGCTGACATGAAATGACAATACAATTACATTTGACTTGTATTGTCCAAGGATATGTCAGTGATGGACAATAGCACGGATTAGAGGAACTAAACCTTGAATGCAATTATAAATAGCCAAACTCTTAAGCATGCTTCTTCTCCATCGGAGCCCTGCCATAAAAGAATGGTTAGCTAGAAAAGCTTACCTTAAATCTTTTTGCACTCAATTTTTGGTCTTACATACATATGCTTCATTTCAAAATACGTAAATGACCTTCCATACTGTTCATTTATAATTGAATGTTTTGCATGTCAAAAAAGGACGAATTCCACCTCTAATATATGTTTTAAATAGAATAAACTAATTCAACCTCACAAATGAACAGGGAAACATTCTCGAGAGTATTGCATGCTTTCCTTTCACGAGCAGAACATATAGTCCATAGCATGGAATGTGAACCAAAGCCAACGCTAGATACCTGAGAACAGATGATGTCCAAATAGATGTTTTGCAGAGTTAAGGCACAAGTAATTGGAGACTGGGAGATGAGAAGCAAAATAATTACCATAGTGGTGCCCATGGAGTAGAAAGTTCAAGGAATGGATATGGCCACCTGCATTCAGTTTATGAAGGGAGATGATGATCAGCTACAAAACTTCCCACCAAGAACTCGATCACATGAGAAGCAAATAGTGAAGTAGAGGTGACAGTTTGAAGTAAAAATGTAAAGTTCCTTTAATATCATATATATAGAACTAATTAAAGGTTTCGTCTCCTGTACCATGTGAAGCAACATGCATGAAGAACCCACTGAAAAACAACATAAGCAATGCTCCAAAGCACAAAATAGACAAGCCCAAACCAAGGAAATGGCTGAAACGTAAATTCATCCATTAGATTAGCCGAAGAAAAAAGCAAGCAGAATAAAATGACTTCTACAGTAGCATGCATTGACGGTCTTTATTCTTACCATGCTATTGACAGCAGAATCAAGGATAAGTAAAAGGGCATTTACAGAATGCATGCATCCAATCAGCTATCATATTAACAAAAGTGAAAAGTTAGAAAAGCAGGAAAAGATTTGTTAGTGATCAGCAAATTTAGATCATAGCATATTTCGCCTAATAGAGGATCCGAGAAAAGAATTCTGGCTTTGCAATTAAGTACTGTGCAACAGGTGAAATCAACTTTTGCCCAGATCAGAAGGCCATAACTTACCAGGGTAAGTTGAAAATTTTCACCCGTCATGAATGGGAGCAGAAGGCCCCAAAAGACAATGTCAGTAAGCATAACAGCACCTCCACAAGTCTGTTTAATAATAAATTTTTGGTGTCAGGTAGTGCTTTAACAGCAAAAACATTACGACAGCGAACAAAAAATTTAGAATCTTGTTGAGTTTATAGCTTTGTATAGAAAGCAGAAACCCAGCTTTAATGTCATTCACAGCTAAATTTTTAAGAAGAACCAATAATAACCCACTTATCCATATAGAAGTCATTGCTTGAACTAATAAAAATGAAGTTGACCCCTCGTCTCAGGTACCCTCTTCATTCAAGTCATTACTGAAAATGATATCCACACCCGTACAATGAAGTACTTAAACATGTCATCAGATGCAAATGGACATGCTATGCTTAACCATATTTCTTTTCGCTTTTAATCCATTCCAAATTCCTTGAAGCTGATCATATTCAAATTTGAAGTGCAAAAATCTAACGATGGAGGGGACCTCAAAGTGGAAGAACAAATAGCTGGTTTAGATAGCCTTCCTAGAAACCAAGTTCTTTTATTATACATTTTAAATTCCCCCAATTTATTGGTTATAAATTAGTTTATCCATCTATTATTTTCTTTCAATTAATCAAACCAAACAGATAAAGCAGGACAAATGCATATTATTTCCACTCAGTACAAAGCTTCAACACATTCGATGGAAGTCAGACAGCGTAACCTGATAAATCATCTGCATAAGGTGTTCCCAATATCCAGCGTGTTGTTCATTCTTGGCCTGTTTCTCTTCGGAAATTGAAGTCATTGTATGTTTCCTATCTTCCGACTCCTTTTTGAGAAATTTATCCCTTTCCCCACTCTGAGAGAGAGGTCTTCTCGAGTAAATCCAACATCCCCGGGCAGATACAACAGTACCAATCTGCATGTACAAATTACCATTGAAACGCAGCAATATCCTAAATAAAATGTCAACCGAATATAATCTTGTTTAGCGCATGATATGAAGAGTACTAGCACGAGTCTTGGAAAGGGAGGAAATACAATGTTGTACATACAGCAAAGTAGACCAAAACCAATGCAAAAGTCCACCTGGAAAGCAGTAGTACACACAATTAGAAGCTATAAGTGAGTGGTATTCAGGAAACAACAAAATAATTCGACGTAATAGGAGTATCGTAATAACAAAAAGGGCCAAAAATGATAGGAATCCTTCACAATAAGACGGGAGATAAACAACCAGTAAATCTAGTAAGTGGGATCAAGAAGTTATTGAAAATTTTCTCAAAGAATTTAGTTCAGGCGACAAGTAGAATCTCTTCATTACATGAAATATCTTAAAATTTATGTAAAATTGGTAAGTGTACACGTATGTTAGGTATCAATCAAGTGAATTTTGTTTTAATGGGGATCAATTCAATGTAAGAAATTTGGGCTGGTCTTGAATTTATTTTCTCCAACCCTGCGGAAAAGGACTCCAACATATGCCCCGTTGTAATAAAGCAAATGAAATTCTACAAATAAAGTAAACTACTCCCACCTGGTCTTGCTAGAGCTCTTACAGAATTTTTATAGTACATATTTACTGATTTTTGGTATGGTGGATCCTGTAAAGAGAAGAAACAAAAAATAGAAAACTCATGTATGCAACTACAATTATAATCTCAGTTTGATTCTATTAGTTAGCAAATCCTTACTTCCGTTTGATACAACTAGGTTGAAACAGCACCACCTTGCTCTCTAGGCTTAGCTTGAATGCCTAGAAGTTGGCCACAATGGAAGCAAGGTAATGTGGGTTTATTTTTGGTGTATACACAAGTACAACGGAGAATGATTGTGCCACAGGCATTTGCAGATTGCTCATGTGAGTGATAGTTGCACAACACGCAGACTAGATTTGGTACATTTGAGTATAAGGCATGAATGCAAAGCTCAATGTAAATGGAGGCAACAATGTGTAACACAAGCAAAAATGGAACTTTGTTCGTTGAGAATTAATCAAGGGAGAGTTTACCGTACTTTCTCTATGTCTTGGGCATTTGTTGCCTTCAGTTGCTTGATAGTAAACCTAGTAAACAATGATGGGAAGCGGGAGTTCTAAGTGCCAGTACAGGGAAAAAATTGTTCTAGAATTAGCCTTCCAAACCAAATTGTTATCGAACCAAGTTAAGGCCAGCATGGTCCTGAAGGATTGATGATCTCGCTTGGAATACTTTTTTGATTCTCCATAGACTGATAATGTCGCCAACTTGTGGACGTTGAGCAATAAAGAGCATTGCACTCTAAACTGAGGCAAGTCTTTGAAGTCTTCACGTCTAATAACACTAACCGATTACATCCATGTTATGCCCCCATCATGTGCAACGAAGATATTTATTGACCTCGATGGAGAGGGTGAAATTTCCTAGTAAAAGACAGCACTTCACGGCTCTATTTAAAACAATGTTCTAAAAAGCGTAAAGCTTAGCTAGGCGTCCATATTCTATAGTACATCTATATACACAACAGTACAGGACTATATGAAAATTAAAGTTAGCTTGTTCATCTATCTACAGCCAATCTAAGGTTTGACGCAGGGAGATGGATGTGCGATTGTGAAAGAAGATTGACGCGGGCCCCTTATCGCCGTGGGGGAAAAATCAGACTATTTGGAGGAGCTGGAGTTGGTAAAACTCTTATCTTATGATTCTAATTATGATTCGAATTACTAGATTTTTTATGATTTCCAATCTGAATATCGGCTGGCACAGACTAAGGCCTTCGACTTCTCTTGCACATACATAAAACTTTACATTGAAATATGCCGGAGGCCAAGCTTCAAACTTTTCTTAATTTTAATATTATTTTAAATTTTTAATAATTCTAAAAACCATTTAATAACTAAAATAGTACATACCAAACATCTAAAATATTTACTTATAATTCTTACAATTAATTAATTATAAAATTTACAAAGGAAAAACTTGAAACTAGAGTCAAATAAAAGGCTTTTAAAAAAAAGGAAGAAAGATTAATAAAGCGCCCCTAGGCAAGCATTAAGCGATCAACTTGGCATTAGGCGCTCTTTTTAGAATATTGACGACCTAAAAACTGTGTATCAAAGCCTAAGCCTTCTGATGTGGGCAATTCTCTCATCCAAGTTTGTTTTATTGAAATAAAGTTCCTTCATAAGAGTTAAGAAAAGTTTTGAGTTTTTTATGTTTGTTGTCTTCCAGCTTCAGTGTAAACCTCTTACACAATTGTTGGCAGACTAACTGCATCAAAGGGGAAAATCTTTTGGCAGAACTATACCCCGACACTAGGGAATAACTGTTCATGCTAAAGTACTGTTCTTTTATTAAGTGAAGGAAATCCTGTCTCGCCTAAGGCTGACAAGGCTTGACTAGGAATTCATCAATTATCTGTGCAATCTAAGTCCAAGAATCTACTATCTAGATCTCAGATTAGAATTATGTCACTTCTATCGCCAGATTCTTAAAGTATTTATATTACAGATTAAATAAAGTAAAAGACATAAATGCGATCCAGTTCCAGTAACTAATACGACGTTCGACTGTACGTATGAGGGAAGAAAATATCGTACTGGGTGTAGAAGAAGAAGACGAAGAATCCGAAAGCAGCAACAACCTCATAGAGCAGAAAAGACATGGAAACAAAGGCGATTGCTCGGTAGAACAGAAGCCATTTTGGGTTGAGGTTTCTCCAGCATGGGACCCACAAATCATTGGAGTTGAGCGGGTTACTGCCGGCGCTGGTCCTCTTCCTGAAAAGGATGACTGCAACGGCTGCCGGGAGCAAGAAGATTAGAGCACATACAAGGACTTGCCATTGGAGCCAGTAATCCAAGCCCGGAACGTTATTTGCCTGAGAACTCTCCATTTTTGTGATTGCGAGATTGATAAAAATGATCCAAATTTTTTTTTTTTTTTTTTTTTTGGTTGTGCGAAAAATGTGCTTTCAAGGATAAATTGCATTTTAGCGTAACTTTTAGCAAAAAATAGAAATTTTGTCCTGACCAAGTTTTTGTCTTATTTTAGTCATCGCCCTTTGAGAGATTAAAACGTCTTAATCATTTTTTATTTTTATTTTTAACTTTTGAATTTCTACAATAATGATTTCCAGCCTGGAAATTCCAGGACGTAAAGGGGGCAGATTGGAGATTTCAAGGAGGCATGTCCGTATGATGTATGATGTATTATTAACTATTGTATTTTTTCAAATTAATGTATTATTGCGCTTCTCCAAATCAAAGCATTTGTATACATTAATTTTTCGTTCAAATGATCATATTTTAAATTAAAAATCATCTAAATAAAAAGTAATAATATTATTTTTTTTTCTTTTTGTCCTTTTTTTTTTTTAAAAAAAAAGCCCACATCTTGGCTCAGATCGGCTCGTGATGAGATGAGCCCAAAATTTCAGGTTCATTGAAGCAACGAGTAGAACCAAGCCTAATGGACATGCTCAAAAGGCAATTTCATTCTACCCATTGTCATCCTATATATTGCGGTAGAAAATATTTCTCTCTTTATTTTGGAACATTTGCACTTGGAGTCTCGCTTTAAAATAATTTTAAGAATTGACTCACTAGAATATATGACATCTTATTATGCCCTTGTTTGGTGGAAGTTAAAGTAAGAGTTTTTAGTAAAATTTGATAAAAGTTGATAAAAATATGTAATTGAAAAGTTGTGAATTCCATGAAATACGTGATTAAACTTATATATTGATTTTGACTTAAATTAAAATCTAAATTTTAATTTTCATAAAGGGAGGGGGGGGGGTGGCTATGTAAAGAGTCTGCTACTCCAAGTAACTGAAGGTGAAATTTATTTTTGGGTCTTTGTTTTGAAAAATGCAAAAATTAATGTATAAGAGAATAAGCCCTCGCTTGGCCATCATTATTTAATATTTTAATTTTTGGAACAGTATTATTTTGGAGGAATCATGCTACTTGTACATTGAGCTTGACATCATTTTTTACATTGTGTAACGTGGCAACATTACATTGGACAGTTTGAAAATAAAAAAACACTTTCCCGTCAACACTTATTTTGAAAACAATAGAATGACAAGAATGATATCAAAATGTTAATGTACAAATAGCATTGTTTTGTGGATGGTCGAAAAAGAATGAAAATTTTTTATTTACGTGTAATATTATTTTATTGCAGAATGTGTGGCGGAAAAGAGAGTAAGATGTATACAAGGTTTAAAACTTCAAAAATCAAATATTAATTAAATTTTTATTTATAAAATAATTAATTAAAAATATATTTTATTAATTAAATATATTAAAATCACAATTCTATAGAATTTGATCACAAATTATCGAATTAACTAGTCACAAATAAAAAAAATTTGTAGATTACTGTTCACGAAATAATTCTTTCGATGTGTACGGTTCGTAACAAGTAATAAAGTGGATTTTTAAAAGTCCGAATATCGTCCCTCAGAGATTGAGTAGTTCAATTCTATATAATCTAGTCTTAACCGAATCTAATTGAGTGAAAATATGGTTCAAATGCAAAAAAAAAAACCCTAATTTCTATTAAAAACCATAATTTCTCAATTAGAAACCATAATTTTGGAATTTCTCTAATTAAACGACTCAAACACTCAAGTAAATGAAATTATGCAAATTCAAAAGCTAATTTATGGAAATGAATCAAAATAAAGTCACTAGAATCACGAATCCCCAATTCAAGTTATGAAAACCCTAATTTCATAAAATTAATGACCCGATGGAAATTTGCCAATTCAATGTTCCTAATTATATCCAATATATTCTCTCGATATATATTAGACCTATTCTTGCACACCACCAACCTATATCTCTATGGATGATGCAAATATACAAAAATGCATGTGGTTTTGTGAACAATTAAAGAATTGCATAAAGTATAGGGGTATATCTCTATCCCCTATCGGACCCTATGTTGATTTATACCTTATCAAACCTATTCTACTTCTCTCGAATGTAAGAAATAAGTCATCAACACTCACACAATCATTGGCCACTAATTGCGGAAGAAAATCAATGCATATAAACCAATCAAATTATCCAAACAAATCTTTATATTAAATTCATGAAATATAGAATTAAAATAACAACAATGGTTCATCGATCACCTAATGAATTGAAAACCTAGCCTAGAATATTCATAATTACAGAAAAAAACGAAAATAATAAATAGAAAGAATAGCACCCGTATGACAATTTCTTGAAATCTTGAATAAAGCCTTGAAAACCCGCTTGAATTCTTGTGGAATCGGCTTCAAAATCGTGTTTCTTGCCTCCAAAAGTTATATTTTTCTTCTCTCTGGACGTTCTACCCTATTTCTGATGAATTTTGGTTTTTATATCATGTCTTCACGGAGCCCCGAAAGAGTTTCAATTAAAAACGGAAGTTCAGAATTTTTTTCGACTTTCAAAGCCATGCGGCCGCATGGTGTTAAACCATGCGACCGCATGGTTCAAGTGATCTGCCTCAATAAAATCCCTGCATCCTCATGTGCGGCCGCATGGTATAGTTATGTGCGGCCGCAAGGTTGTAACTTTACAACCTTGCTATATTGGTCCTGAACTCTGTTTTCTCTTTTCTTGATCTCTTTTCTTTCTTTCTTTTGTTCTATTGTCAAATATTGACTCCTAATTGATGTTTGGATCAATCAATTCGTTGATCACTTGCTCGGCTCATCTTTTGATTAATTACAATTTAGTCCTTCATCTTTCACTTTTTTTCAATTCAGTCCAATGTTACTTCTTTCTTCCTTCGATCGTCTTGTATCGTCCTCAATCTCATACTTGACATATTTTCATTCTCGTTCTACACTTTAGCTCAACTTCCCAATATTTGTACCTTTGATCCCCGAACTATTGTTTTGTTCCGTTTTGGTTCTTTTTCGGCTCTTTTCTTCTGAATTACATTTTTTCCATAGAAACACCTACATTGCATGAATTTAACGAGATTAAGTCACAATTCAACTACTTTATCCATGTTTAAGTCATGTTTGTGAACTAAATAAGTTTGTAAAAACACACTTATCAATTACAAACTAAAAATTTTGTAGATCAGAAATCAAAAAAATTATACGTCACAATTTATTTATCAATCACAAATAATAAATTTTATAAGTCACGACTTAGTACAGAGCTACAAATTATTGATAACAACTTAACAAATTTTTAAGTCACAAATTATTTTTTGATTACGATTTATTTATTTCATTGGTCACACATTAACCAATTTATTGGTCACAATCAACGAAATAATTTGTGACCACTACCAACACCTCTGACCATCACCTCACCATTGTCTCCAACAACATTGTTGCTGACGCTACCGTCACTAGAAGCACCACCACCACTCCTAACAACAACATCACCAGCTCAAACAAACCAACGTCGTCACCTCCCAGCACGTCGTCGCCACTTTCAACAAACAACCATTTTAAACTTCAAAACCACCATCGGCAACAACGAGATCCAACACTACAGCCAGTAACAAAACCATAGCCACTACCAAATCCAACATAATTTGCCACCACCATTGGATCCAGCAAAGATATTGCCAAATACCACCAAAATGAGCACTACCACCACCATAGCCCCATCTGCTAACCGAAAAAAAAAAGAAAAAAACCCACACCAAATCATAGCACTACAGTTCCTAGCCATATAGCGCAACATATTCTTAACACGGCATGCGACGAGGAGGATCAACAAGGGAGCAAGAGGCTAAGGGCAAAGGGGTTGAACCGACAATGATCCCGCCTGTGGCGATGCGACGCTCTCACTTGGTCTCACACAAAAAGCAGCACCTCCCATAGCCGTTCCGACGAGAATGCATATAGATGCACGGTACTCGTAGCCATCGCTAAGTTGCTGTGTAGAGAGAGAAGAGATTGGGAGAGAGAAGGGTCAATTGTAGCCCGTTTAGAGAGAAAAAAGAGATTGGAAAATAATTAGACTTTGGTATGGTATATGGTAGTGGGAGAGTTAATTGTTCCAATAGTCACCTAATTTAGGTCTATATTTTTGATTGACTACTGAACTTTAAAATGTCGAGTTTTGGTCACTGAACTTAAGTTCATGTCTTTGATTGGCCAATGAAATTTAAAATGTCGAGTTTTGATCACTGAACTTGGGTCCATATTTTCGATTGCTCACTGAAATTTAAATTATCGAGTTTTGGCCACCGAATTTTGAAAAATGTTGTACATTACTCACTAAACTTTGAAAAATATAGTACATTACTCACTGAATTTTGAAAAATGTTGTACATTATTTATTGTAAATCTGATATTTTTCAAAGTTCAATAGTTATGCTATTGAATAACGTACGTCATATTCTAAAGTTCAATAGCCAAAACTCGACAGTTTAAATTTCAGTGAGCAATCTAAGATATGGACCTAAGTTCAGTGAGAAATCGAAGACATCGACCCAAGTTCAGTGACCAAAACTCGACATTTTAAACTTTAGTAACCAATCAAAGATATGGACCTAAATTCAGTAACCAAAACTGAACATTTTCAAAGTTCAATAGCCAAAACTCAACATTTTAAAGTTCAGTGGCTAATCAAAGACATGGACCTAAATTTAGTGATCATTGGAACAATTAACTCGATAGTGGGATGGATATGTAAAATAATTTTTATAATATTATCATTAATATTTAGAATTATAACTGATTTTTGAAAGAAAAACTATAATAACTCTTGATTATGAATTGAAATCTTGAAAACCAGGTGGACCTATTAGCTAAATGGGTCGAGTAAAAGATTGAGATCCAATAACGGTATCTAGTGGGTACTTTTAAAAAATGGTGTTTTCAAAGAAGGGAAATTTCATTTTGACTTGTTGAATTCTTAAAATTATGACAATGGCCTATT